TGCCGAGTTTGAGTTGGTCAACGGACTACTGTTCCTTGAGAAGGCGGGGAATAAACGCCTGTGTGTACCAGATAGGGAGTCTTTGCGTAGTTTATTTTTAGGTGAGTGTCATGATGCCACCGGACATTTTGGCTTCAAGAAGACTGCAGCCAATCTGTTGCAGCGGTTCTAGTGGCCCATGATGATGAGAGATGCCAAACTGTACGTGGAGACTTGTCAGGTCTGTCAGAGAGACAAGCGCCGTACGCAGGCCCCTCTTGGGCTCCTCAAGCCCCTTCCGATTCCGAAAAGGCCCAGTGAGAGCTTGTCTATGGACTTCATGGACACGCTGGTCACCAGCAAGAGCGGAATGAGACACATCTTTGTTATTGTGGATAGGTTTAGTAAGTACGCTAGGTTAGTTGCAATGTCGGAGACAGCGAAGACCGAGCATGTGATTAAGTTGTTCAAAGAGAACTGGGTTAGAGATTTTGGATTGCCAAAGTCAATAGTCAGTGACCGCGATGTGCGATTCACAAGTGAATTGTGGAAAGCCGCAGCTGTAGAACAGGGAACACAGTTGCAGATGACATCAGGAAACCATCCCGAGGCGAATGGACAAGGAGAACAGTTGAACTGCGCTGTACAACACCTGCTAAGGCATTACATCAAGCCAAATCAAGTAGACTGGGATGAGAAACTTGCTCTCATTGCCAGCATGTACAACAACGCGGTCCACAGCGCAACGGGCGTGAGCCCGAATAGTCTGCTATTAACCTTTAAGCCTAGACTGCCCTTGGATTTCTTATTACCTGAGAACCAGCCCTCTGATGCACCAGGGACTTTAGAGTTTGCCTATCGATACGAGCAGCTGATGCAGCAGGCTGTTGAACAGATGCACAAGACACAGGCGGCGATGATAGAGTCTGAGAACAAACATCGCCGCCCATCCACGTTCCAGGTAGGAGAAAGAGTATGGGTCAAGTCCTCAAAACTGGGACAGGAGCATGGGATCTCCCGCAAGCTCATGCCACAGTACTTTGGACACTGGGAGATTCTGGATGTTGTTGGGAATGAACCGGATGGGCCGTCTTATGTTATTCGCATCCCTGGTCACTTACGTACGTACCCTGTTTTTCACACTTCTAAGCTTGCACCATTCAAAGAAACTGACCAGTTTCCCTCTTGTCGCTCTATGCGGCCCCCAACCATGGATGGAGAGGTCGACATCGACGACATTGTTGACCACAGGGAGATGCCAGTTCCAAGACCAACAGGCAGAGGACGTCCTCCAAAACCGAAGCTGCAGTATCGAGTTCAGTTCAGACATCACACTGATCCAAAGGAGGACAGATGGTTCACAACGGAGGAACTGATGCAGACCGCTCCACAGGTAGTTGCTCACTATGAGAAGTCTCTACGGAAAGGAAAGCGCCAGATTATCGGAGACTGAACTTCTCAGAGGACTAGCGAAGTATGGAGGAGGGAATGCGAGGCATGGGCCTCGATAAGCCCTACTGGGCCCCTATTTGCCACAGCGTCGGCCGCCCTAAGCAAGGCAGGCCCGACGGACCTTAAGAGGCCTATTTCGAACTACTTCACAAATGGGGGGAAATTCAGGCAGTTGTGCAGCATCAGTTGGTTGGAAGTGCCCAGGCCCTGGTTCCTTTTATCAAATGAATCTGAGTCAGGCCCTGGGCGAGATTCGCAGCATAGGCCCAACTGAGGCTGTGGGCAGTTGGGCAGGTAACTGTCGGTGGCCCAGGGCCAATTTGTTTGGTCTGAGGCTCAGCCTCCTGGGGCCTACCGGAAGCTTCTTGGGATCGGCCCAGTGCAGCCTGGGACAAAACGTAGGCATGCCACTTCCATATAGCAAAGGGCCTGCCTCCGCATTCGGCATTGGGGTGCTGGCTGCATGCTGCGCAAGCGCTGCTGCGCTGAAGCTGGCTAGCGCTCACGTGCTCACGGGCAAGCAGGAAGGAGCAGGCAGCCATAGCCGAGCTGCGCTGCTGTGAGCTGGGTGTGGCGCAGGGTGGTCCTTGGGTGCATGTGGCATCTGTGTGTTGGGGAACGAGGTTGAGAGTGATATGAGAGTCATACCTGGTGCTAGAAGCGACGGCATAGTCCGAGATCTGCTCGTACTTCGGTGAAGCTGTTGACGTCATCCGGCGGCATTGTAGAGTAGGCTAGATAGGATCTGCCATCTGTAGTCTGGGCGCCGAGCGCCAGATAGGATACCAACATTGGTTCTTCGTTGATGATGATGATGAGACTATTCCAGCATTGTCAATTATGAGCTCTTGGTGTGTTCTTATTTGGTGAAACTCGTGATGCAATTCTGCTGTTGGTTCGAGGTCACGACTATCTGGTCTTATGAGTATGATGCTGTTTGATTTCTGAAGTTCGCTATCGCTCATCTTCCTTGCAATGTAGACAGTAATATACATAGTATATAGTATGTACTATTCAGTATGATACTACATAGTATGCAGTTATATGCACTATGTAGACATGGATATACAGATTATTGTACTGACCCGCCAAAACACAGACGGAGAACACCGCGGAATTCTGAATTCTGCCGCTGGAATGGATGCCTTGCTGAGATTCCTGCATTCTGCTGAGTTTTCTAAGTCTGTGCGTGTGTGCATGCTTGATGGTCTGCGTGCCTGTCTGAGTGCTGGTCGGCCTGAGTGTCTGTGTGACCCACAAGGGTACTTGCTTGTTTGGAGGCCCGTAGGGCCGGTACTTACCTGTGGCCGTGACATTGAGGGTTGCAGTGGGGGGAAAACACGCAAGTGGCAGGGCACGAGGCCCACGACACTTGGGGCAGCGGGAAACACTCAAGTAGCAGGTAAGCCGGTACCACACCAAGTAGAAGTAGATGTGCCGGGTACTCGAGGCTGAGCAGAAGAAGACAAAAGTTGGCATTATTCGAGGCCCAGTAGTTGTAGGCTAGGTCTAGGCGGGTACCAGTCCAACCAGTCTGAGTCTAGGGCCTGTACGGTCAATATCAGAGTCTGCAATGACGTTTCCCTCGGAAAGGGAGGAGGTACCGGTTGCTTGGAGGCCGTGCGGCCTAAGTCACCGCCCAAGAGGCAAGTAGGCCGCTATATCTCCAGGAGGAGCAAAGTGCTCCTCATTCTTCGGTGTGCAAGTTGGCGACACACTGCTTGGAGCGTTGGCTGGAGGAGCGCTGGGCATTTCAGGGCTGCTAGGAGGAAGGAATACCGGGCTAGATTCAGCCATCATATGGATCCAAAGGAAGATCTTTCTTTCAAGGGAGAGGAGCTGCTGAAGACAGCACCTCAGATCATTACAGATTATGAACAGCAGTTAAAGGAGAAAGCTACTGCGTAGAAGCATCTCAGCGGACTTTCGAAGCCAAGGAGGAGGGAGTGCGGGGAATGAGCGCCTTGCAAAGCCTTCAGAACCCAGCAGCCGAGTCCTTTGAGGCCCCCGCACGCCTTGAGCCCGCCGTAAGTGAAGACAGGCCTGCAGTATTCATGTCCAGCCTTTTTCAGGCCAATTCTGAATCTGGGGGCCCACACAGTTACCACGCGCCAGTTGGTTGAGGGGGCCCAGCATGCTGTGTAACCAAACTTGTGAGCCTCCCAGGCTCTTCCACGCAGGGACGTAGCTGCAGGCCTTTCAGCCAATCAGAGAGCAGTTAGCGACGTGAGCCGGACAGTTGGGCGTGGCATAACTGTTCTGGTCCCAGGCCACTATCTGAATGGGCCTGGGTGGAGACACTATGGCCCAATGTCAAGCTACTGGGAACTCGGCATCCAGGCCCAGGCTTCTTGAAGCAGGGCAGCACATTCCATATAGGAAAATGCCCTGCACCCAGGCAGCCATTCTGGCGAGTGGCCACTGGGCGATAGCACTGCCACTTTGTGAGCTGGGGGTCGCCCGGGCACTGCATGCCTCGGCGCACGCGGGCACTAGTCAGGTGAGAGGGGCGCTGCTGGGCAGAGAGCGCAAGCGGCCATAGCTGGGCCTGCTTGTGGTGATGCTGGTGATGGTGATGGTGGTCTTCGGGTAGGGGACACACACTGTGGGTGAGGAGGCTGGGCGCTGAGCGCCAGAGAAGAAGAGCAACATTGGATACATTGTTGGTGGTGGCGACAAAGGGCTGTCATTGATATTTGAGTTCATTGCATTGCTCTTACTCGGCTCGTAAATCGGTGCTTATTGCTTTCTGCTTGGTACACGACTATTTGGTTTTCTGTCTATCACTCTCGCTCATTTTCCTTGCAAATGGAAAACATAGCAGAATAGACAGGATGAAGGGCAAGAAGAAGGCAAATCAGAAAAGATTAACTGAAACCCTTTTGTTCTTAATAGCTACAAATTACGTGTGTATATCGATATGGGAAAGAGAACTCGTCACCGGTCCAGAATCAAGAGTTTCTTTGGGCCCTCACAGTTGTTTTGTTTTGTTTTTTTTTATAAAAAAAAAGGGAAATGGCCTTGAGGTATCGTCATCAGACTGACCGGCCCCAGGTAATTCAGAGTTACTTTAATCAACTGATTCCATCACGATTCGAACTCAGGTCCATCTGTCAGGAGTTATATGGCTGAACCATTCAGCCACGGGGCCTGTGTCACAGTTTTTCTGGGTCCCCATTGCCCCTAGAATTTTCTTCTTCACCCAAGATCCTGCACAACTTCAGTCCACCATTTTCCATCCAACGTCTCCTTGAGGCCATCAATATAAGAACTTCAAAATCCCTACTCAACAACCAAAGGAGCACATTTCATTAGGAAACACAACAGCAACAGCAACAACCAACCAACAACAGACCGTTTTGTTTTTTCCTTGCTTTTCTTGAAACCCCTTGCACAATCCAAACAAACCAACTTTCCCAACAACTGCTTGAAGGAGCATCTTCATGCCCAACCGAAAGGACATCTAATCAAACCGACTTTCCTAACAACCCCTTAAGGACCACCCTCATGCCCAAATGCAGGGACATTCTAGGGAGAGGGCAGAGGGAGGGAAGGAAAGACAGACAGACCCTCGCAACAACAGCTGTTCCAGCCCCAGCAGCAGCCAGCACTCCAAGAGCCAGGACCATCTGCGTCCACCGAAAGCCTCTCCTTGGAGGAACCAGAAGACTCTGTGAAAGAGGCGGGTACTTCTGCAAAAACCGCGCTGACCCGGGATCTTCCAGCAATTGCGTCACCGCATTCTGCTGTCTTCCATCAACGTGGCGAGACAAACTTCCCGATGTGGACTGACGTGGCACAGAGGTAGGTTGTTGCCCAGTCTGTGCACGTGACTGCGAAGAAGGCCTCTTCCATGCTGTCGGCGCGGAAGTTTGACCACCACCCACTGACTCTGACTGCACAGACTCACCGCCTGCCTTTGATGACAATCCAGATGCGTCATTCCCCTTGGCCTCCATGGACGGCGACGAGTCCTGTTACATCAGCCCAAACAATACGTCCAATCAGAGGTAAGGCCAAACAGAATCCCCTGCACGATGCACCGAATGAGCCCTTGAGGGAGCATAGTGCACTGGCGATCTTGCGCTCAACAACCAGACGCCTTGACCATTGCAGCATACCGTTCGTGATATCCACCCCACCCCTCCACGGCTGCAGTAGAATCCCTACATTCCTCCACACGGCATCCCACAAGACCCCCCTACAGAGCTTAGCCCTTTCACACGTAGCCACCTCCTGCGAGACCACTCTCAGAGATGACCCAGAAGCTCTGGCATACTCAAAATACAAAGCATCCTCCCAGGAAGGCAAAGAATGCAGCATGGTGAAAGGTCTTGAAAGAGCACAGTTTGCCATAACCACCTTACAGCTCAACAGGTTAGGATCACAACCACGTATGCAGCAGGACTGGAGCAATCGCAAGCGACAGAAGCCAACCCAAGGATGACAAAGATCAGCGAAGCCGAGCAGAGACAAACTGCTGAGCAACTCAATCCGAACCACAGATACTTCATCCAACCGCCTTCAGTTACCATTATCGTCGAACAGAACTGCCTGGTAAACCGTCGGCAGAGAGGCAGAAGAGGACAACAAACATATATAATATGTATACATATTACTGCCATGGACAGTAAGGATTACCACAGAACAAAAGACTGCCCAGGAACTAAAAATTACCACCAAAATATTACCATACATTCCCACCATAATTTCCTCACACAAGCACATGAAAGTGGGTGGTTTGGCAATCCCTTCATGCATACAAAATACACTCGGCTTCTGCAAACGTCAGAAGATTAAGGACCAAGGGGATAAAGCCTGAAGCTGTAAGCGACCAAGCAACGGAATGTTCTGTGATTTGGAGAAGGCTGCTTGTGAAAACAGCCATGCGTTTATAAAAATAAAATAAAAACAACAACAACAGCTTTCAGAGCAGTGAGAATGCTGAGATGAGCAACCAAAAATCAGGTGAAAAGCATGACGTTGCACTGAGCTCAGGTGTTTCCGCACATTCAGTGAATTTACTCGGAAGAGGGAAGATCAGCCCGTAAGTAAACCCCGAAAGGTGGCACCGACAATATCGTCAAAATATGCCTTGCGCGGTTCTCAACCTCGTATTCATTCATCACTTCAGCAACAGCAGAAAAGAATATGGACGGCATTACACTTGAACGGAACGCTTGAGATGCCTTACACAGTTCTCTACCTGGCATTCATTATTTCAGCAACAGCAGAACAGAACATGGGAGGATATCGTGCTCAAAACCTAGAACAGAACAGTTGATACTTTTCAATGCATAACAAGGAGAAAAAATCTACGGCACTACATGTCAGAGAGAAAAACACTGGGTCACAACATGTCAAGGAGGAAAACACTCGAACACTACATGTCAAGGAGAAAAACACTAGGTCACAACATGTCAAGGAGAAAAACACTAGAACACTACATGTCAAGGAGAAAAACGCTAGGACAATACATGTCAGGAGGAAAGCAGGTGGTGGACACTGTACCGGAACCCTGCGGAATGCCTCATCAATTTCACCCTGAGAGAGGCCCTTCCTTTCTAGGAAGGCTCTCCTGAACTTCACTGGAGACCCTCGCACTTTTGGATGCGACAAGAAATTCACTGCATTTTGCACTTGATCTTCCCTCATGAGCGGAGGTTGCAAGCTCTTTAAGTCAGTCTCTGGCTCTACTTCTTCCACCCCTCCCCCTCCATTCTCATTCTCCTCCCCTTTTGCATTGTCGTTGGTCTCTTCTGCCATCTCTGAAGCGAGCACCGCTGTACTGCTTGACCCTTCTGCAAAACAATTCAACACCGCAGGAGACAGAAAGGTTATCACATTCCTCTGTGCCATCAGAACGTCACCACCTTGAAAAGATGAGGTGAAAACATTCAGCTTACGGAAAAAGAAGAAGAAAGAATCTCACTCATTGAGATCAACATGCAGGCAGTCAGCACTAAGACGTGTTGCAGAACACTAAGGGCAGACTCACGTCTCTCTGCTACGTGCTACATGAACTTGGTGGTTCATGCTTCGTGAATTTGTGCTATGTGAACTTCGGCTTCATTCTTCGTGAATTGGAGCCGTGAATTGGTGCTTGGTGCTTGGTGCTTGGTGCTTGGTGCTTGGTGCTTCGTGAAGGTTTGTGGATCAGTGGTTCGGGCTGCATGAATTGGTGCTTCGTGGTTCATGGATCTGTGGCCATCGTGCTTCAAGCTATTCCCGCTGACCACCATGGAAGCACCACCATCTTCTATGTGCTCCAAAATGGCAGCCCGTGGAGTGACACCCACAGCAAAGACTCCTTGGGCCTCCTCGCAAAGATACTGTGACCATGACCCCGAACAAACGCGTTCCCGCCCCAAAAAAGTGCGGCCGCCCACAAACATGCCTTCATCAACAAATTATCCAAGCACAAAAAAGAATAGCTCGCGAGTACGAGCCCGGTCCTAGCCGCTCAAATCTGTGAAGACAGATGTGTGTGTGAGTGAGAGAGAGAGAGAGAAAGAGAGAGAAAGTGTTCCCACACTGTCCATCATGTCATTCTGACACATACTGCTCGGTTTCATCGTTGGTTTTGCCTTCCAGGAAATGCTCCAAGATGCACGCACAGCATTATGGTTTCCATGACAAGACTACAACAACTCCCCCGGCGAACAGCAATTACCAAGCACATGCACATTGATTGTTTCATTCATACATTACAAGACCTGCATAACATCAGTTGCACTCTTACAGTTGAAGGCTACAACAACTCCCCGCGGCCAGTCATCAATGACATCATCCAGGCCCGTCAAACTCAGACTCACCCACAAACACACAAGCACTTGCACACAAGCTCGTCACCAGCGGCTGTGGCCGCTCGACTCAGCATGCAGGTAAGTCTCTCTCTCTTCTCCTCCCTTGGTCTCGCTCTCACCTCACAGTCCTCACTCATCTCTCAGAAAGTCTTCCTCACCTGCACACTACGATTATGGCTATGGCGCCCAGCGTCATTGACTACACTGCACTACGCTCACTCTCACTGACTTGGTCACCTCCCCAGCGCACAAGACCGCAGCAGCGCTTCCGCATTGAGTGCCTAACACATTGTGTTGAAGTCCAGGAGCTGCTGGACTTCTAAACTTGTTCATCCGCCTTCCAGGCATCTTCTGCTGATTATGGGTTCGCTCCCCTTTCCTTTGTTTGCTGCCTCCGGAAACTTGCGGATTCTCCTTGGATCTGGCTGCTTGGTCGGACTGACTGACACCTGGCCTAACGGCCTCTGTGTCCTTGGCTAAGATTCGTGGTGCCCTGTAAACATAGACTCGTTAACCCATAACTATTATCTAACAGAAACTTCCTACCACAATCTACTTAACCAGCCTAACTAGGCTTCCATAGTCATTGTACAAACAAGAGCTACTCTTCTAGGTGACTCATGAATATTGTGCGGGTTGCACTAATGGAACTCGGAACAGGGACCTGGGACTTGGCACTGAGACCTGGGATTTGGGACTGGGACCTGGAACTTGGGACTGTGACGTGGGGCTCAGGACTCTGTGAATCCTTTCAAAATGTAGAGAGCCTATGTGAAAACACAGAATGCTGCCCCCATGAACATTCGGTAAACCACCAATAGCTAGACAGTCGACCTCGCTCCACTGCACAACTTTCTAGACATATCTGGAGCGTATTGCTGTCACGATACATTCAAAAAGTTTGATTAACCCGAATGTATTTGGTCCAGATCCCCTCCCAGACGTGTAGAATGTTGTGCAGTGGAGCGAGGCCCAGTGTTGGAGTCACTCTCTTCCTCATCAACACCATACATTGCTACAGGTCAAGCTTCTTTTCTCGTTTGGAGTGAAAAAGCAAGAACAGGCCAGACGGACAGAACAGAACAACACACCAACAGACTCATATACTGTAAACGAAAGCGTGGCACTTAGGAGATGACATATAAATTGAATATAGGATAATCATAGGGTACTTGTGGGGGTAATTATGGGGTAATTACCGGGCAATTAGGGGTAAGGAGGGGGTAAGTAGGAGGGAATTATGGGGAATCGTGGAGGCTGATTTCCAAGTATTTCCCTCTGACCTCTCGCAGGTGCTTCAGACCCACCCTCCATTACTGGTGATCCCACAGCTAGCACATCAAGCCTGCAGATTTTCAACACTGCCTGCAGAAGAACAGATCATTGAACACTCCAGATCTCGTTCTTATTCAAAGAGCTGATCTGTAAAGCTCCACTCGTCCTTACAGACCCAGCAGCAAAATCTGGTGCAACGGCAAGAAGATCAAATGTGCACGTCACAAAACAATGAGAGCTTGCACCAACGTAGCTCAGTTGGTACATCCATGAACTGCTGAAATACAGACTGAAGTTTGAATCCAGATGCAATCAGATGAACAAACTTAGATAATTCTGAATCGCCTGGGGGTGGTCAGTGCAACCAAGGTATCAACACCGTTGCCCTTGAAAAAAAAAAAA